ACCTCCTATGTTAGCTTTTATATTGTGACCAAATTTGAATCACAAAGATGCAAATATTTTGGTGGCAGAGGGAGTAGTGTATAATTATGGCACCAAGATCAAAGCTTATTCACACGATTTTATTTGCTTTCAGTATTGAACTATCGATCCCTACCAACACATGGAGGTTTTGTTAACATGTTTTTCCCACTGTCATTCTCTGTTCAAGTTCCACTGAGTGCTGCTTAATTCTGCAGGTCTTGTTTTCGACTGATTTAAATGCATTATTTGTTACCAGTGCATTTGCTATTCCTTCAACACTGTATTTTCTACTTCAGGTTCTATTCCTGACCTAGTTCTGTTCTTGATATCTTACAGCTCTACTTATGTTGTACTCTTGCTATCTTACTTTCTCCACCTTAACTGCATCTGTTAACTAAAGCATTGCTGTGGCTTCTTATTGTTTAACAGACATATGTTGTAAAGCCTTACTACCTTAAGCGAGAAAAGCAGAAAACACTAGAAAAGATGGAAGGCTTATCTACGCAGGTATCATGATGTTGTTGTGTGTATTCACATTTCTAAATGGAGGTGGAACTCATTCTACTTTCCTGTTTGAAACCGAACCATTCTAGATGAGGCAGTGCATTCTTAAATTTGGTGGAATGACTCCATTCCTCACTAGTACTAGTTTTAGCTTATGATGAATGAGGTGATGATGCATCAATCTATTCCATTCCACAAACCAAAGAAAAAAAATAAGGAGTAAGAAGACGATGGACTAAGTACTAACTCATTCCTTAAACCAAACACCCTATTAATGTGTAGTTTTGTTTTGGAATCCAAATTTGGTTGCCACATACTAATCTAAATGGTATACAAGCCTTTCACCTTTTTAATCAAATCGTGATTTTTCTTTCTTGCGGTATGTAGGTTTGCAATAATTCCCTAACTGCTTTTCCATGCTCAAGTGATTTTTTTTAAAACAATTGGCAAGTAATTGAAGATACCATTTTCCTGTATAGCTAACTGAAGCCAGGAAGGCAGCTGAAAAAGCTCAAAAATTACTGGAACCTGTCTCCAATCGTAAGAAGAATAGACAGTTAGAGAACAATGGATTGGTGATAACAAAGGCTTTGTATGGCAGTTGCAAAAATATCAAAGAGAGCAGTGAATTGAATGAGATACATAATGACATGGCTTCACAAGTATTTGATGTGACCATCCCACTGAACTTCCTCGTTACTGAGGCAGGCCAGCTCAAGGTACATTCGAGTTACATTGGTGACAAGCGTTTTTTATCCAAGATATGAACCTAGTACTCAAGTTCTGCCATATTCATAGTTGATTTCTGTATGCTATCTGTGCTATTTTTACTGGTAGGTTCCATTGGAAGACCAATGTAGTAGGGGCATCTGCAATTTTGCCACTGGTTTTGCGTTGCAACCTGCAAATAGATTGGAATTTTATATATGCTTGATTCCACTTTTACTAGATTCTGTTTCACGTTTCTGCAAGGTAGCAAATAGTTGTCTGGTTATTATTCTACACTGAATTTTCTTTCTGTTACCTGCAGCTTCATGACGGGATAAAGAAGTCTGGAATAATGGGTTTCTACGATCCATGTCCTGGAGACCCGAAGCTGTTACTTGTCGAGTACACGTTTCATGGTCGTAAATACAAGGTAGAGAATGCTGAACATCGCCATACGTACCGTCTTACTGCGCACACACAAAAAAAAACGAGCAAATTTTCTTGACTGCTTGGTTTGTTGACAGGTCACGGTGGATGACTATGAGGCGCTGTTGATACCACAAGATATCCATCAATTTTGAACTGTTCCTGATCCGCATCAAAACGATTTTGGGTCACCATAGCTGATAGTTCTCTTCTCGCATTTTGTTCTTTGTGTTGATGAGCTATCTCTGTTTTCGGTTATTCCTTAATGCGCCCCGTATGCTGTATACGCATGTGGATCTGCGCCACCTCGAGGGCATACACACCCACAGCAGCTAGTAATAATTTGCAGTCATTTTCCAAAAAAAGAAAAGTACAGTCAGTCAAGAAGATACGTCATGTTTGCTTCTGAACATGGCGGAAGTGCCTGGGCATACAGATCCCCACTCCCCAGGATGTCTAGGGCTGGCCGATGGGCAAGCGGTCCAAGGCCCAGGAATTTTTGCTAGAAGCAAACAGCACTTTCTGTCGGTGTTGGATTCTCCGACCAGCGTCTTCGTGCCCATTTGTTTATTTTTTACTAGTAGTAGTTCATTTGTTTTATGACCAACCACCGAATCGTCCACAAGGCAGGCAGCTCCTGGCCTCCTGCCCTGCCCGTCGCGGGTCACATGCAGCTGCGGGCTCAGGCGAAAGGCGATGCTCGACGCGCCTGTGCTGCCGGAGCCGTGCCCCTGCTTGGTTCCTGTCTCGGGAAGTCGGGAACCCTGACTCCGAGAGATAGTTGTGCGATGCTCTGCTCCGCTGCCCCCCTATCCTGCCGGCCGCGAGCGCTCATGTAACGGACAAGACGCTGCTGCAGAGACAGCAGAGGACTTGATGAAGCTTGCGTTGCATGTGCGTAGCATCCACGTCCATGTCCACAGCAGCTCTGCAGCTGTGACCTTTAACCGCCTTTCCGGTGACTCATGACTTGGGGCTTTAAGCAAGTACTACTGCTACTGTAGTAGTGAATTTTAGCGGTGGTAGCGAGTGATATACTGGCTTAATAGTTTTTATCATCCGAATATAGTGGTAAATGGCATGAAAAGGTTGCCTTTAACCAGAATATATATTGGATCCGGATCCAAAGAGATCCTATGCAGCTTGGAGTACTAGTTATTGCTACATGAGTTCCAGCTAGCGCATACCCCCATTCGCCCATGTAGCCACAAGTTCAATCACGAAGACGTGAAACGTTGCAGCTGGTCGAGCAGGGGTCTCTTTTAAAATCGTACGGTCCATATCCATACGGAGCAAAGTACTAGGCGCTGCACCAAACGCTACAAAAACTTGGATGCACGGAGTAGTATCTGCTACTGCTACAAGTGGAGCGGGAGGGAAAAAAAGAACACTACTATGCCAGTTCGCGCAAAAACTTCTCCCGGGCGAACCTTGACACCGCATGGATCGCTTCTTTACAAGTTTTGATTTCGCGTCGGCATGGACCACCGGATCAAGAATTTCTCCTCGGGATGCTTACGCTGCATGAACGAGAAAGATATCCTAAACCTTGTGACATGGCGTATTGCTCTCGATCTGCACTCTGCAGTCTGCACTACTATATAGATCTCACGATGGCATGGAGTACTATATAAATCTAAAGTCGGACGCGCAAAAAGGAGTGCCCCATGTCCTGGGCACGAATTTTTTGAGCAAGCTAGGCAAGGTGTTCTGCCATTTTATTTTTAGAACTACTCCCTCCATTTCATTAGTCCCTAAACTTTCACAGTTCATAGATGAAATTGAGACCAACATTATAAAGTTTGAGAACTGAAATGGTCACTTTAATAGTTCTAGGATGAAACTAAACCTAAAATGAAAATTTAATGACTAAAACAACCGTTTTGAAAGTTTAAGAATGGAATTGAATCTCAGATGATAGTTGAAGACCAAAATGACTACTTTGCCACTTTCTTTTGTAGGACTTCATCAAGAAAATAACTCCAAGGAAAATGTAACCGTCAAAACAGTGCAAACGATTTTCTTCTTCTTCTTACTATACCCACGCTCACGGTCCCATGGCTCACGTGGTTCACTGCTGGTTCTACTGCCTAGCATAACAGGCTTACTCCAGCACAAGCACAAGACGACCACTCCAAGTAAAGTGGCTGGAAAAGGATCCCTGGGAAGTGAAGATCCGGTGCAGTTTTTGGTGTGCACATGATCTTTTCTGTTGCAATGTATACTCCGTAATTACTTCCATAAGCTAGCACGGAATTCTGTACTCTAGCCACAGATTCATGCACAAGGCCGTGGTGAAAAGCTGCAGCCGGAGATCAGGACTCAGGAGAGAGCTCCCCGGCTACGCCACAGACAGTGTAGCTCTTTAAAAACGCGTGTTCGGACTGGGACTGGGACTCTGGGAGGGAGTGGACGACAGGACGAGCGAGTGGTTTGCTTGGGTTTGGGTGCTCGTGAGTCGTGATCCAGCTACGCCACAGACCACAGCAGGGCGTCCTGCAGGCGGCTGCAGCCGCTTTGACGTCGACAACGGTCAAATGCAGGCGCCAGGCGGCCAGCTGATCCGCCAAACACTTGTTGGGATTTGGGAACAGTGCCGCACTGCAGCAGCGCCCCGCCGTTCCCGCCTTTCCTGGAGTGGAAGCGGTCTAGTGGACCGCTAGTGTTTGGTGCAGCCTGGAATGGAAGTGTAAAAACAAGCACCGAAGACTTCCCCCCCGCGCCCAAAATGAAATTAGACTTTAGACGATGACTAAAAAATTGGTTTCTTTTTCTTTTATCCGTAATTCAAATTGTTTGTCATGTGTGGCTCCAAATCCCCTGTCAGGCACGCCTAAGATCTGCTCGCCTTTACTGCTTCAACAATCACTACTGGACCAAGCTCATCGCGGCTCCTCCTAGCAATCCACACAAAACACACAACCACTGGGCAGCACAGCACAGCTGCAAATGGACCACAGAGCTGGGAGCTGGGAGCTGGGAGCCGAGAGCCGAGAGCCGCACGCGCTACCCGTGACAGCCGCACGCATCCGACCCTCCCCGAGACAATCTCCCCCGATGCCGACCTCCTCCTGTCCAACCGCCCAACCAATCCAACGATAGGCAGGGCAGCGCGCGCATCGCCATCGCATCGCAGCAGAATCCCGTCAACACCCAGCTCACACCATCTCCCTATTCATCAGATTCTCATGTGCCAGCCGGACACACACGAGACCTTGGTCCCCCAGCTTCCATCTCATTCCACCAGCTTACTGCTAATATATATACCAACCCCACATTGTTCTCGTCTCGCACACAAAACTCTGGAGCTCCTTGTCATTGCCACCTTCGCAACTGTGCCAATGGCCAGCCGCTGCAGCTCCTTGTCATTGCCATGGTTGCCCTTCCTGGTGGTGGTCCTTATTGGCGACGCTGCGGCTGCGATGGCGATGCCCAGGCCGCTGCTGGGCATCGCCGAGACGCCGACCGCCGCGCCGGGTACGGCAGCGGGGCCCGCCGGCGCGTCGTGGCCCGGGGGAGGCGGGAGGCCTGACCGGTCGGTGGCCGGCGCGGAGGTGATCCTCGCCGGGTTCGCTGCCGCGGTGATGGTCATCATCTTCTGCTATATCAGGGTCACCAGGAAAAACAGCGGCAGCGGCAGCAACGATGTGGGAGTTGGATTGGGATCGGGAGGGAAACAGCAGCAGGGCCTGTGAGGATTCTGAGCTTCTAATGGGAGGATAGGTCTTGATAGGATCTTCTTTTTTTTAGTTCAGACAAGGGCCGGGGATAGGAGGAGCACGAGGTGGACTAACATTTGGAGTTTTGTGAACTTGTGCATGTATTTGTTAATGCAATGAGACATGCCATATATATGTATGTATAATGCACCAATGAATGAGATGCGTATCTATGAATGACTGAGACTGAGATTTAGATGAACTTGTGCGTAGGCAAGTATATGCATCAGTGTATCATATTAGGACTGAGATTGGTGATCAAATAATACATATTTTTGTACAATATTTTAGAGCTTTTATTCATAAGTCCAAAATCATCAAAATATGAGTCTTAGAACCAAATATTATACCTAAAATACGAAATGCTAGTATGATGAAATATGCAAGCAACAGACCATCTGTTCCTCACAAAAATAAACTTGTTGAAAATTTCGTTGTTCACATATTTTTCAACTTAAGAGTTAGAATCGTCTAGTTTTTTTTAAAGGAGGACATCGAATATTCTAATGTTTGCAGAGGATGATCCAGTGCTGGAGGAATGATTTTTAGAGACGGCTCTACCAACCACCACTGCTACAGGAATGTATTTCTAGAGGCGCTTAGTTTAGTGGGCCAACTGAGGCCTATATAATGGCGGCTAGCAATACAACGTCTCTGCCAAAAAAAAAAGCTCCAATTACTACAAATCGCTTCTATACTAGTGTGGATATCATCGCCGGATTGAACGCCAATCTAGTGGTGATAACTAAAACTATCACCAACGACGGCGATAACTTGCGGTGAAGGGGGTTTAGACCGGCGGTGATAAACTTTTTGTAGTAGTGGTGATTCGGTCTTTTATTCTATGAGTACAAAAATCGCGATGATTGGAGAAACAACTAGTAATTTTTTATTGGTAGGGGTATTTATACCCTCGATGAGTTCATTTTTGCTGGAGCTGCTGAAGAGTGCTGAATTAAGGCGATTAGCACAAGCGTTAGGAGTGACCAGTGATATAATTCAAGGCGATTATAGTCCTCTTTGGAACGCGAGATTTTTTCTCTCTCGTTCCTGTGTATTTTCTATAAAAAAATAAACTGATTCCTATAAAATTTCTATATAATTTATGTGAAATTCCTGTATTCTCAAGGTGCCCTGTGAATCCGGTTTTTAGGTATTGTTGGAGATACTCACTGGGAGGCCATATATTCTTATTAGCCTGGTCTTTAATTTAATGCATTGTAATAATACTTTATTGAACTGCAACAATAACTCTGTACTCGCAGTTACGAATTGAAACACGATGCTTTTTTTTATGGCATTGTTGGACAAAGTTTACGCCTGCAACTTTGGACTACAAGAGAGCTATCGAATGCGGAGAGAGGCTGCTATCAAACCGTCGCATATGCGGAAGGAAGGTGAGAGAGACGGGCGCTGTACCATACCGTCCGAAACGCGTCTTCTGATCGTGCCAGCGTACGCGGCCTGCTTCTGTGCTTCTCGCTTGCGACCTGCGAGCTCAATCAGCACTCAGCAGGGATCCAGCTACGCCACAGCACGGCGTCCTCCTCCCGGTCCCGGCCGCCACCAAACACGGAGCCGCTCTGACACCGGTGGCCAAATGGGGCCGGGAAACAGTGATGGCCCTGCACTGCAGTACCCTGTACCCCACAGTTCCTGGAGTAGTAGCATCTGCTGCAACAGGACAACGGCTCCACTGTCCCAGTATGTGCAACACTTGGCCTTGGCCCGTATGAAACCTTCCCCGGACAGATGGTTCCTCTCTGGATGCAGCATGCGAGTTTGGACTTTGGACTCCTTTTCTTTCCCTATTTTGACTCAATAGGGACAGATGGGTTAGAGATGAGCAGCATCCGGCCTTGTTAAGGTTTGGTCCAATTTTATCTGAAACGGCCTAAGCAATGCAGTACATCGAGATCGTCTGTAGCAACTTCTTGCGGAAGGAGGTTCAGTGGGAGCCGCGGGAGCAGAGTGAGTGGACGTTGGAGTGTTGTTGAATGCAGAAACCTTGCTTCACCACGGTAGATTTATCATTTATCCAATCCAAAAGAAAGATAATGATGTCTTTTACGCGTACGCACCAAGTTCCTTTCATGGTTTGATGGACATGGTTGCAACCAAAGAATTTGTCTCACACTCTCACACATTGACATGATCTTATGCCTACCATCTCAACTGCCACAACACAACCACTCAAGGTGAAGGGCGCAGGACAGTGGTAAAAGAAATCACACATGTTGAGATCGGCAAGATCATCTAGGGTTAGGTCTAGCGGGTTCTCTTTACTGTGAATGCGATATCGAGAGTAGAGGGATAGAGAGGAATAGAAGAAGAACGTGTCAAACCTGACACCGCAGAGGGAGATGGTCCAGAAGCCGCCATCTCGTTCGTCGGTGAAGTCTGCGCACGGACAGCGACGTTCGGGGAAGAGGTCAATGAAGTCGTCGACGTCGGTGGAGCGGGGCGACGCGGCTGGTGGCTTCCCGTCACTGGCTGCGCCCCTCTCTGATCGGGATTAGGGTTTAGGTTTCGGTAGAGAGCTCGGCTCAGGCGAACCTCATACTCAGAGCCGTCGGCTCCCACCTCTATATATTGCGCAGTGTGACAGGGGCCCTCCATCCATAGTGGGCTGGGCGCCCCCGACCAGGGCGGGGATCAAAGGCCCAACTGGGCCGTTGGGCCCAGTTTGGGAATAGAGATCAATCAAACAATCTCCTCCTTGATCTCCTACCATCTTTCAATTTTATATCATTTACTTTTATTCATTCCATTACAGATTAGCGCATAGAGCATGTTTCATCGTCACGGTCAATTGCCGATAAATTTAACAACTACAACACACCACCCTGTTCTGAAATAGATACTTAAACTTTGAGCCTTCTTTTAAAACTTTGGTCCTTCTTTTGTCTAGGAATTATAGGCTTTCCCTTAAACTCATGCCGGCTACATGTTCTTCGAACACGTTTGGTGGTAAGCCTTTTGTAAGCGGATCCGCGAGCATCTTTTCGGTACTTATATGCTCAAGACTTATGACATGATCCCAGACTTTATCTTTCACAACATAATACTTTATGTCAACGTGTTTGGCAGCACCACTTGACTTATTGTTGTGAGCATACTGTACTGTCGGATTATTATCGCAGTATAACTTGAGTGGTCTATAGATGTCATCAACCACCTTCAAACTAGGTATGAACTTCTCTAGCCAGTTCACCTGCCCCGTTGCCTCATAACACGCTACAAACTCGACATACATTATGGACGATGTAGTGACGGTTTGCTTTGAACTTTTTCATGAAATAACTCCCCCTGCGAGAGTGAATACATATCCAGATGTGGATTTTTTATCATCTCCCGCGTAATCAGAATCTGAATATCCCACTATATGGAGTGAAACTGATCTTCTATACGTCATCATGAGGCTTTTCGTTCCTTGCAAATAACGCAAGACTTTCTTTACTAATTTCCAGTGTTCTGCTCCAGGATTGCTCTAGAATCTGCCAAGTAACCCGGTAACAAATGCCAAGTCAGGGCGCGTACATACTTGAGCATATTGTAAGCTTCCGACAGCTGAAGCATATGGAACCGTTTTCATTTGATCGATCTCATACTGATTTCTGGGGCATTAAAAATCTTCATATCTGTCGTCCTTGACTATAGGAGCAGGTGAGGGACTACATTTGTGCATATTGAATTTCTTTAAGATCTTTTCTATGTATGCCTTTTGTGACAGTCCTAATATCCCTTTACTTCTATCTCGGTGAATCTCGACCCCTTGAACGAACGAAGCTTCACCAAGATCTTTCATATCAAATTTTGAGGACAAAAACTTATTTGTCTCCAGTAGTAGACTGACATCACTACTGGCAAGTAAGATATCATCCACATACAGGACAAGGAAGATAAACTTCCTATTCTTAAACTTTGCATAGACACAATTGTCCTCTACATTCTCTTTAAACTCAAAGTTCCTTATTGTCTGATCAAACTTCAAGTACCACTGTCTTGAAGCTTATTTTAATCCATAAATGGATTTTTTTTGCGGCATCCCATTCGTTCTTTTCCTTCCATGACAAAACCTTTCGGTTGTGCCATGTATACATTTTCCTCCAAGTCCCCGTTGAGAAATGTCGTCTTTACATTCATCTGATATAATTCGAAATCGTAATGTGCCACTAATGCCATTATGATTCTGAAAAAATCCTTACATGAGACTAGAGAAAAGGTCTCATTGTAATCAATTCTTTCTCTTTGCGTAAAGCCTTTTGCCACAAGTCGCGTTTTATATCTCTCTATATTCCTTTGAGAGTCAAGTTTTGTTTTGTAGACCCATTTACAGCCTACTGTTTTGGCTTCTTTAGGAATTATTTTCAAGTCTCAAACTTTATTGGCATTCATAGATTTTATTTCATCTTCCATGGCCTCAAGCCACTTTGATGAATGATCACTTCTCATGGCTTCTTCAAATGAGGTGGGATCATCCTCCATTTGAAATTCCTCAGTATTGTATACTTCATAGTCAGCAGGAATAGCTAATTTTCTAACTCTTTGAGACCTTCTAGGGGCCTCCACATTTGGCACATCTTCTGTTTGAGGCTGTTGTTGCTCCCCCTCATGTGTGGCAATAGGTTCTACAGGATCCTGAAGAACAGGTTCCTCATCGTCATTCATTGTTGCCAAAGGCGGAATAACAATAGGTGCTGGCATCACAGTATCTTGCACTGTCGGTGCAGCGATAGCAGGTAGTGAGAAAAATGGCTCATGAATCATCGGAGTGGGCGCATACACCTACTTCTCTTCAAGGTCAATTTCTCGAGCTACCATGCTCCCCCTCATCATTTCATCCTCTAGGAAGACAGCGTGTCTCGTTTTCACAAACTTTGTATGTCTGTCTAGACAATAGAAACAAAAACCTTTTCTGGGTAGCCAATGAAATGGCAACTTATTGTTTTGGGATCTAGCTTTCCAATATTTGGTTTAAATACTTTAGTCTCAGTAGGACTCCCCCACACACGTAAGTGGTTTAGTGAGGGTACTCTTCCTGTCCATAACTCATATAGTGTTTTTGGCACCGACTTACTTGGTACTCTATTGAGAATATGAATGACGGTTTTTAATGCCTCCATCCACAGGCTCAACGGTAAGGTGGAGTAACTTATCATACTGCGCACCATATCCATCAGGGTACCATTGCGTCTTTCAGCTACTCTATTCTGCTAAGGTTCGCCCGGTGTAGAATATTGGGCTACTATGCCATTCTCCTGTAAGAACCTTGCAAAAGGTCCAGAAACTTGGCCATATGGGATATGTCGACCATAGTACTCCCCCCACGGTCGGACCTGACTATCTTAATCTTTAAATTGTGTTGGTTTTCAACTTCTGCCTTAAATATCTTAAATTTATCCAATGCTTCTGTTCTTTCTTTGATTGGATAAATGTAGCCATAACGGGAGTAATCATCTGTGAATGTTATAAACGAATCATAACCATCCACACTCTTTATAGGAAACGGACCACATATGTCTATGTGAATAATCTGTAAAATTCATGTGCTTCGTTTGACATCTTTCTTAATTTTCCTTACATACTTTCTTTTTATGCATTCTCTGTATTGTTCTAAATCTGAGAACTCTAATGGAGGAAGAATATCATTCTTAACTAGTCTTTCTATTCTCCCCCTCAAAATATGGCCTAAACGACAGTGCCATAATTTCGATGACGCATCGTGAGCTATCTTTTATTTTCTGTTTACATCCGCAGACGAGGATACATTCTCATTGTCGCACGCAATGTTCTCATCATCGCATACAACATTCACATCATGACGTAGTGATAACAAATAAAGCTCATTTTGTAAGATAGCAAGACCAACACATGCATTATTAAATGTTATCTTACATTTACCATTTCCAAAATGGTAATCATATCCATCATTGTCCAAGCATGAAACACTAATCAAGTTTCTCTATAAAGAGGGAACATAAAGTACATCTCTAAGTAAAAGTGTGAAGCCATCAGCAAGCTCTAGAGAAAGATCGCCAACGGCTTCAACATCTACTCGGACTCCATTTGCAACTTTAACGTGTCTTTCTCTTATTTGCATAGTCCTCGTCGAACGGAATCCCTGTAAAGAATTAGCAACATGAATAGTTGCACCTGAGTCAATCCATCAAGTAGATTTTGAATATTGTATATATAGGGATTCATTTATGAATGTAATAATGTTCTCACCTTTCTTTGCCATGATCATCTTTAAGTAATCGTGACAATCTTTCTTATAATGCCCCGTCTTCTTGCAATAGAGACACTGGTCTTTCTCTACCGTGAACTTGTTCTGCTAAGGCTGATGCAGCATGGGACCCTTTCCCTTTGACTTTGAGGAGGAGTTAGCATTATTATTCTTTTTCTTATTGTCTTTCACATAATTGATAGTGCCACCATTGACAGCTTTCATTCTCTCCTCCTCTTGCACACACATAGCCATGAGCTTCTCTAAGTCCCACTTCTCGGGCTGTATGTTGTAGTTGACAATAAAAGTGTCAAATTCCTTTGACAAGGAAGCAAAAATCAGATGGATAAGGAACTCTTCCTGAGAGCTAGATCCATTGGTTTTAGCTTGGATGTCAAATTGCTCATCCTTGGTATGTGCTCTCTTATGCCACCATTTTCAGAGTACCTCTCTGTCACCAGCTACTTTATCATCTAGGTAGCATATGACTTTGAAGAGCCAGTGAACTGACTCTTTATTCTATCGAGGTACTTGGTGACCGTGTCACACTCTGGGATTGAGTCCACAATTGTAGGCTTAATCGTGTTCTTTATCATAGCCAAACATTTCTTGTTGACAGTGACCCACTTCCTATGCTCAAGGTCATAGGACATCTTTTGGAATTCAAAATCCCTCTCTTTAGTTGCCCAAGCAGCATCAGCCTCGTTTGTCTCCCTCACCGGTGCCACAGGCTCAGTGGGACACGATGAGGTGACTACCCAGTCCACCTCAGCCAAGATGAAGGCCAGGTTAATCTTTTTATTTCACTCCGTGTAGTTGTCACCTTTGAGAGTGAACTTGTTGTTGAAATAATGTTATCTTTACAATGCCATTTTCGAACATTACATCCGCATGAAGCAAGGATCAAGATCTTTAAAAATTGTCGCCTTCAATGTTCCAGCCATTTACGATACTGTTAGCGGTGAGATGGGTAATGAAGGATCTCTTTGATATAACCCATCAAGTTGTATACACCTGAAAACACAATTCATATAGAGTGAGAACGTAAATAATAACAATAATTGCATGTCTTGATTTCAACGTTGGTCAAAATTAAAACATACAACTGTTTATACATTAAATCTACATCACCATTGGAAAGAAATAAAAAAATGCATAAAATTATTAAAATTACGATATTGTTATTAACAACGTTGGTCAGAAAATAACAACATAATAATTATGTCAAAATCTCTTTTTCTCCAATTAAATATCACATTAGTTCAAAATAACTGGAGAATAAACTATTTCTTTAGCAGCGAAAACTTAAACATGATAGGTGAATTTTACCCACAGGAAAATTCCTCTTTGCTATTTTCTTTGGGCCATTAATTTATTTCCAGGAAATAAACATTTACTGGAAAAAGAAAAACAAAAAAAACTGATTCAATTCTTCACTGTACGTTCGGCCCAGCAGCAAAAGCTGGCCCGACCTGCTCTGCTTGCGCTCGCGCTGTGCCTCCCAGGCTGCAACCTAGGCCTGGGCCGCCAAACCCATGCGGCCACGCGCGCCCGCCTAGGCCAATCGTTGGCCCGATCGATCTGCGTCGTCCGTTCTAATCCGACGGTTGAGCGTGCTTCTCGCGGGAACAAAACCGGCGCGCGGCTGCCTCCCCCGGAACCCTAGCATCATTTCTCTTCTCCCCTTCTCTCTCAAGTTGTATACCTCGAAAACACAATTCGAGTGAGAACGACAACAATTGTGAGCTTGACAATCGAGTTCAAGGGTGGACGTGACGCAGGGGATGGCGGCTCCCTCACATTAGTGGCAGCCTCGCCGGCTTGCTATTTTCTTTGAGCATTAATTTATTTCTAGGGCGATTCAATTCTTCCCTCACTCGCCTAGCACAAAAAGCCACGCCACGCGACCGGCCGACCGACTCAAGCGGCACCACGGTGGTGCCCTTTTGGCCCGAGCCTGAGGCGGAGATCATGCGCAGTGCTTCTCCCGCCCCGGTGGCTGGGGTTGGCTTCCCGCGCGGCATCCATGCGACGGCCGATGGTGGAGACGGAGCGGGCGGACCCCAGGTAGGAGCTTCTTCCCCTTGTCCAATTCGCTCTCTTCCCCTTCCTCGTCGCGAGTTAGGGTTAGGGTTTCGTTAGGGCTAGGATTAACCCGATTTGGTTTTTCTTTCGGTTTTGATTCGAGATCGGCGAGATAAGCCCCTTCCCCTCTTCCCCTTTCCCTCTTCTGTCTTTGGATCTTATTGTGTTCTTCTCGGTTCTTATCCGATTGCGGATTAGGGTTAGGGTTAAGTCAAGTTAGGGTTAGAGTTTGACTCACTAGAGTCAGTATTCATCTTCCCCGGTGAGTGCTTCGTGGGTTAGGGTTTGGCTTCGCGTGCCGAGACCCTTTCTCTTCTCTGTTCTTCACCCGATTAGGGTTAGGGTTCGGTGACCCTCTCACTGTGTTTTTCGTTCACCCGATCTAGATCTAAAAGCCCTAGAAGACCTGGCTCCGATACCATTGTTGAGACCGGCAAGATCATCTAGGGTTAGGTCTAGCGGGTTCTCTTTACTGTGAATGCGATATCGAGAGTAGAGGGACAGAGAGGAATAGAAGAAGAACGTGTCAAACATGACACCGCAGAGGGAGATGGTCCAGAAGCCGTCATCTCGTTCGTTGGTGAAGTCTGCGCACGGACAGCGATGTTCGAGGAAGAGGTCAATAAAGTCGTCGATGTCAGTGGAGCGGGGCGGCGCGGCTGGTGGCTTCCCGTCACTGGCTGCACCTCTCTCTGATCGGGATTAGGGTTTAGGTTTCGGTGGAGAGCTCGGCTCAGACGAACCTCGTACTCAGAGCTGTCGGCCCCCACCTCTATATATTACGCAGTGTGACAGGGGCATTCCAGCCATAGTGGAGTGAACGTCCCCGATCAGGGCACAGATCAAAGATCCAACTAGACCGTTGGACCCAATTTAGGATTAGAGATCAATCTAACAACACAGACACAGCCATGGCCCATGAGCAGCTGGGAGGGGCTACCCCAGGGCCCAGGTTGCCGATGACAGCGTCCACCAGGTCCAACCTCCCCGAGACAATCTTCCCCGATCCCGACCTCCTCCCCGGTCGGTCCCTTCAACAAAACCAAGTACTCCAACCAACCAACCAACCAACCAACCGCAGGGGAGAGCGCTGCAGCGTCGCATCACGGCGCAGCAGAATCCCGAGGAGACCCAGCTCACCGTCCCCCCTCGCCTCGATTCTCATGTGCCAGCCAGGCGCGCAAGACCACGGTCCGACCCCCCTTGCTTCCTCTCACTTCCACCTCACTCCCGAGTCCCGTCCCTCGTCTCACTGCCCATATATACCCACCTCACCATCATGAGCTCCCTCCACTCTCTCGTCTCTTCACATTTGCCACACAACTCCGGAGCAAGCACTGAAAAGACCTCTAGAGGAACAGAGTTGCGAGCGGCTTGCAGGCTGCAGCAGTACAATGGCTAGCCGCTGCAGCTTCTCGTCGTCATTGCCAAGGCTGCTCCTCCTGGCGGCCGTTCTTGGCGCTGTTCTTCTTCACGGCGAGGGTGCGATGGCCAGGCCGCTGCTGCTGGGCATCGCCGAGCCACCGGCCTTGCCAGGCGCTGTGGCGGCGGGACCGGGGGCTGCCGCGCTGGCCGGGGAAGGCGGCAGGCCCGACCGTTCCGAGGCTGGCGCAGAGGTGATCCTCGCCGGGTTCGCGGCAGCGGTGATCGTCGTCGTCTTCTGCTACATCAGGGTCACCAGGGAGAGCAGCAGCGGTGTGGGAGTGGGAGAGAAGCACGAAAGCTTAGGAGGGTTCTAAGCTCGCTCTGTCTAGTAGTAGATAGATCATGTACCAGCGACTTGCCGAAAAAAAGATGTAGCAGTAGGCATACTTGTAAAGAAGGTGAGATGAGAGGGTTGTTGATGTAGTTTAGCAGCTGTTTCAGGTTTGTCAGTTCACTGATCTGTGTGGTGTGTCCTGTACATATCTGTGAGATGAGGTGAGACGTAGGTAGAAGATCAGAAGAAACATCAAGTTTGGTGAATTATTGATTTCTTGGAAACATTCTGTGTGTGCATCATGTTACCGGGCATTATGTCTGAGCGAAATCTGCAACTGTGGTTTCTGACCGGCAGTAGTACTATGAACCATGAACTATGCAGAGTTTGCTATTCAGTTGGCGCATCACTCGCTCATCATTATATATGTGACCACGCTCGCATGGTGTTTGGTTTGAGAAATTAAGTCGTCTTGATTATCCTATGAATTTTGATGGGACAAAGAATCTATGACCGTCAACTAATAACCATTTGCTGAAGAGAACTCTTTGCTGAATATGCTGGTCCATTGTGAGATTATCACATGAATTTTGATGTGAGGAAGCACTTATGATCATTAACTAATCGCGTGCTCTGTGAGGATGGTTGATAATGAATTAACTCATTTCATTCCACGGATTAAACATATTAGTTAGGTTCAGAAGATCCATCGTCAACCCACTCAAATCAAACACCTATTAAAAGCTTTAAGTAGATCGAGGCATTTAGCAAAACGTACGTCACAATCGGTGTGGTGTGGCGCGTGTAGGTTCTCCAATATAGAGTCATTGATTGGGAAAGAATATAACATATTTCTTGAGTAATCAATATAACTCTCTTCTTTTTTGCAAAAAAAAGAAGGTAGAACGAGGTTTCTTTCCTACACTTTCGAAAAAAAATAGAAGAAAACAACCCCACTTTGCTACGCTTTTGGTCTATAATAATTACTTATTTTATTACTTTACTTCATGTTGCTAAGATCTTCTATCATGCATCTCTCAGTACCAAGTTACCAATGCAACACCAGCTGAAATATTCTCACATTGTTAATCCTCTTTCACTGAACTTCGTCGACCTCCTAACAAATGTTCCAACATTTCCGCTGATCATTCCACCCATTCCCAATCGTAAATATTCTTACCATCACCCACAGGGCTTGATTACTGGCATAGTGAATCAGCGGTGCTACATGTACTTTCTCCAACCCCATCAATCCATTACTGATTCACTGTGCATGTGGTTCCAGCTCTAGTACGAGCATTGCTCTGCACTCTGCCGGCCAAAACGAAGCCGATCAGAGAGCATGCACCCGCGGGGAACACGGCGCCGCTCGTTGAATGCTCGCCGGCACGTACACCACCCAGCGCACGCGTCTTCGCGGTCCCGGGCAGCCGTTTGGTCCGGTGCACTGCTCCTCAAGCATCCGTTTCAATGCAAAGGGCCAGCGCGGCGGCATCATAAACAGAACTTAATCGTGGTCAGCCTAGTGCTAGCTAGCTTGCTGTGATATGCCTGGCCTGAACGATGTATCGGCAAAATATGAAATGCTTCTGCTTTGGAACTCTTATTGCGCACCCACTCGTTGCTAAGGTTAGCGGCGAATAAAAGTCATCGACCATGCAAGAAACTAACTGTAGAGAATAGGAATTGGGCCAACAGACTTGTGTGTCTCAACACTAGTAATTAAGAGGATAAACTAACTAACTGTATTGATAGGTATTCATGCAAGGAAAGAGGGAGTTTTGAAAGATGACGTACAACGAAAAGAGAAATATCCATGTCAGAAAATAAATTTTAATCAACTATGCAAGGAAACTAATTAGTTGGAAAAGGCTAGTCACAAACCGTGCATCAGAAACCTAGAACTAAAGCAAGATTGGATCGTCAGGATATATCTTGTTTTATTTTTGGAACTTCAATTAGATTTTTCTTTACCAAAATCTCTATTTCTATTAATATGAGAGGATATAAAGAGTCTCTTAGAAGTTAGATTTGGTCCTTAAGGTTGATGAAGGCGACGGTGCTATTGTTTCTGTCAAGAAGAAACAGGTTGGAAGTATAAAGAAAGACCAAAAAGTACGCACCTAAGTAAAGAGTGGTGATAGTGGGTACTATTTTTTTTCAAACTCCACGAGGAGATTGCAAACTCAAGTTTCTCGAGTATCCTTTGGGAGCTCTAAAAACGTGAAGTTCGTATTCAACTCTACCATTTTTACTCGAACTGAGTTATGGACTTAACATGTTTGACTAGCAAAGTTGACAGTGAAGTTAAAAAAAAGGTAGATTAGAGTATTCCCAAATAGTCCTAAAACCAAATATCTTACCTTCTCAACTCTCAAAACCGTTTAAGTTATCTCCCTACCCAGTTAATGTTGATTTTCAATGTATTTTTTCACCCTTGTTAAGTTAAGAAATTTGATAAATACCGATTAAGGTTTTTAAACCAAACAAAGTCTCTAAACTTTTAAAACTTCCAAGAAAAAACTAGAGATATATTGAAACACAAAAGGCCCAAATAAAATATTTATAACTCGTAAAAGTATCTCAAGAAGCTTTGAAAATTAGATTTAGCTCTAGAAAATGAAAAAAATAAAAAAATCCCAAAACATTCAAATTGATGTATAAATATGTTTTAAATAAAAACTTTCCATCACAAAAATATAAGATGCAACCAACAAAGAATGCAACATGTATTTAATGCTAAATGCATTCATGCTGGTTGCACATCGTGTTTTTATCGTGGAAAGTTTTTGAAAACATGTTTAGACATCTATTAGAATATTCTGGAGTTCTTCTAGATATTTCCCCATTTTCCTACACCTAAATGTAATTTATGGAAGCTTTTAGATATACTTTCAAGAGCTCTAAATATTTTATTTGAGTTTCTTGTATTTCAATCTTTTTTTAGATTTTTTCTTGAAAATTTTAGAAACTTAGAGACATTTTTGTGGTTTAAAAATCTTATCAACTATTTATGGATTTTTGTCTAACTAAAAAAAGATGAAATCATCATGAAAACCCCTTGATCATGAGGGGACGGTGGAGAGTGCCCAATAAGGATGAAGACACCCTGGTTACTTGCCTAATAGTGGAAAGAGAGATAATTTAAACAATTTTTTAGAGTTAAAGAGTAATATTTGGTTTGATTTGCTTCCATGGATTGGATGTGTTATATAAGTGACCTACTCTCTCCGTCATGTAATATAGTACATTCTAGCATTTAAAATTTGTCCTCAAATACAATGCATTCTAGAAGATAAAAATCATTTTGCATTAAATACTTTTCATTTTTCAACCAATCACCATTAATCACATTGATGATAGCGTCTGATTAGGAAATGAAATAAGGGTACATGCGTCTTTTATGTTCTCTCTTAATTTATCTTAAAATTGTTAGAATATACTGTATTACGGGACAGAGCGAGTAGGCTTCAAATCAGACGGGCCAGTGATGGACCTTTTTCTCATCTTCTTGCTGGTTTTTAAATGTTGACAAAATACTTGAGAATACTGTGCACATTTGGCCCGCATGAAGTGAAAAATGTGCTCCGGCCGACTGCCGTGATTGGTTATGCAAGTCGTGCTGGATGGATGATTGATGATAAAATTGACACTGTACCTAACCTGAGAGTACCTGACTGCATTGCAACAAGGGAAAACATGTGGGGTTTGAGGGTATCGAACTCCAAGGCACTGGAACGACGACGGAAAGTGCTCTCTTGACCGTAGCCTGTTCGCTCGAATTTATCACCGGCTTATTGCTAAATTTATAGTATTTTTTTCTCATAATAAAAACAGTTTCACTTGTTTATCAGTCAACTTTAATACCAGCCGGCCTTCATGTAATGTATGAACACCCGGCTTCTCTCAACCTCTTGAGATGACGTATGAACACATTGTATTTATTGTGAAATGCCATGCCATCTTGATTTGGACGATAATGACACGGCTACAGTGAGAGTATATGCCCAGATTTGCTGACGTTTTTCAGAGGGAACCGGAAGTATACCCTGTTCGCTTATGGTACTTTTAGTGAACGAACAATATTTTTTTCTCACAACAAATCAATATAAACTAAATTTCAGTGAAACACAGTTTAGATACAGAAAAAAGACGACAAAATTAAATAAAGAAGGTTACGACTGGACTCCTAGCCATTAGATAATAAGAGGAAATATTTGTGTTTGGTACGATAGATAACCGAGATGAATTCCTGTTTGAAGATCATCCTGCACCTTTAATTTCTAGAGTATATATACTGTCATCATGGATTCATGGAAAATAGAGAAGGCAGTGTGCTGCCTTAGCAGTATTATAAGACGATTATTCCATGCACTGCTACATAATTCGACATCACTGCTGGCCTCATCACTGTCGGATTTTGAAAAACCGACAATGATAGTTCATCACTATCGGTTTTTGGCTAAAACCGACAGTGATAGAACCAACCGACACTGATATTCGGATCTTCACTGTCGGTTCATATTATCGTCGATTTTAGCTAAGAACCGGCAGTGATATTGATCATCACTGCCGGTTTTAACCAAGAACCGACACTGATACTATCACTGTCGGTTCGTGGCTTGAACCGATAATGATATGCTGCAAAAAAAAAACTTCATAAGTTTCTCATATGATGTCCGATGAAGACAAACTTTATATCAAAGTTGTAGTACTCGACGAGATCTACAACTTTGTAGTTCAAACTTTTTAATTTAAGATCGTTTGGATGTCCAAATATTTTCATTTGAAATCATCTATCTAATGAAAATTACGTTTGATTTCTAAAATTTAAAATTTGAATTTTTCAAATGACCTCGGATGGAGAAACGCCAAAAACAAAAGTTGTAGATCTCGAAAAGTTATGCAACTTTATAGACGACAACTTTTTCATTTGAAATCATTTACTACTTTAAAATGTTGTTTGAAATTAAATTTTAAAATTATTGAAGAACTCTGATTTTTCTTCTTAATCTGTGGCTAAAACTTGTAACTAGTATT